CCTCCCGCCCGCCCCGGTGCCGGGACACACCTGCTGGTCAGCACCCATCCCCTAAGGCCAAATAAACTGTTTGTAGTGGCTGGAAATAGGGTGTGGCCAGCTGCGGGGGCCTGGGAGAGAGACTTGAAGACCAGACAGGGAACGAAGCTTGGTCTTAATAAGCTCTTGATCCTCGCAAAGACCTAGAGGAGGCCGGGCAGGCCAAGACAAGGATTTCCATCCCTTCTCCAGCGAGGCTTAGACTACCGAGAGCAAACTTGCCTTTTGTCCTTGCTTCACGTGTGTAGTTAATCATGAAAGAACCCTCAGGAAAGAAACTGGAAAAGAGCGGAGAGAGAAGGCTTGGGGAAGAAGGAAGGCAGGGGCTTAGGGATGTCGTCCGGGTGGCAGGCGAGGCAGTGGGCTCACCCGAGTGACACTCAGCTGCTCTCCTTCCCGCTGAGTTCCGATTTGCATCTTCCGTCCTAATATCCGATTGACAATAGGCAAGTTACTTTTCTCCTCAGAAACCCCTCGTAAAATGACAGCGATATCTGCGGGACATACTGAGGTTGTATTCAGTTAAATTTACTGGAAAGTCGGAAGTTGACAGAATTCTTCCCATTTCCTGGAGGGTCCCTGCCCTCTTTCTTTGGTGGCGTCCGCGTCAGGATGCCCTTGAGCATCTTCTGATGGCTTTTCCAAATTGTCCGTATTCAGCCTCATCCTACTCTGTTCCTCAAACATACTCCTATTGTTCTCATTTAGGGGTTGTTAATTTCCCTGCTGCACTAGTCTGTGAGTTCCTAGGATCCCTGGGGGCCAGATCCAAGTCATAATTTGTTGTTTGTGAGACGACAGTCTTGCTGTGTGTAGCCTACAGGGGCCTCAAACTCAACATCTCCTTGCCTCGGCCTGTGGAGAGCTGGAGATTTCAGGCCTGCTGCCATACTGAGCGACAGGGTGACACCGCATAGTTTCACATCCTGAGTTTGAAGCCTGTGGTTCTCAAAAGTGAGAACTGCTTTTCTCATTTTTGCTGCTGCTTTTCCTATAGCAGCAGCAATACCTGGGAACTTAGAAATACATCTAGTCTCGCTGGAAATCCTCTGAACCAGATCTGCAGGTAGAACCCTGTCCATCTGTCTTTCATCCATTACCCCGGGTGCTAAAGATTCTGAATAACTGGCTTGCACCTCCTGTCTTTAATGCCGGATGCCCTGGAGACTGACATATTTTAAGGTGTTATTATTTTTTAAGAGTAATGTTAATTTTAGAAGTTTTCTGGACATTTTAATTTTCTGAACATTGCAAAGATATTCAGTGTTATAAGAATGCTCATGGGGCAGCCGGGCGCTGGTGGCACATGCCTTTAATCCCAGCACTCAGGAGGCAGAGGCAGGCGGATCTCTGTGAGTTCGAGGCCAGCCTGGTCTCCAGAGCGAGTGCCAGGATAGGCTCCAAAGCCACACAGAGAAACCCTGTCTCAAAAAAAAAAAAAAAAAAAAGAATGCTGTTGGGGGCCTTGGCGGATTCCATGGCAGGTGAGGGACAAACATGAATCCTTACACTGGACACTGAATGAATCCTTACATTCAGTGTCCTCATGTACTCTGTATGCAGTTTCCCCCACTATTCTACCTTCCATTATTATCATATCCTGTTATTGTAAGGATCCAGGCATTATGCAGGCCTGGCCCTGTCATCTGGCAGGATGCACTCAGGCAGTATCCTGGTCAGGCCAGGGTCCTGCCTCTACATAGTCTGTAAGCAGGCTCTTAACCCGTGAGCCGTCCCTCCAGCCCTGATATAATTCAACATAAATATAAATATATATATTTATAGGTAGGGTCTCCCTATGTAACCCTGGCTGGCCTGGAACTAGACTAGACTGGCCTCAAACTCACAGTTCTGTTGCTTCTACCTCCCAAGTACTGGGCTTGGACACTGGCAGATCTTCCAGAAGACCCAGCTTTGTTTTGTTTTGTTTTGTTTGGGTTTTTTGTTTGTTTGGCTTTGTGTTGTTTTTCAAGACTGTTTCTCTGTGTAGCTCTGGCTGTCCTGGAACTGTAGACCAGGCTGGTCTCGAACTCAGAGACCTGCCTGCCTCTGCCTCGTGAGTGCCTCTGCCCACTCTCCAGGGGATCCTGTTTTAATTCTCAGCACTCACATGGCAGCTCACAGGTTACCCATAACGCCAATTCTAAAGGCATTTGATGTTTCCTTCTGGAATCTGCTGGCAATGCATGTACATGTATACATACATAGACATTAATAAATAATAAAATAAATCTTTTAAAAAATAAATACAGCAAAATACAAATAAAACAAAAAAGGGAGAAGAGTTATTTCTCCCATGAAAATAGAATACCTACATCGAATTCTTCTCTATGGCATATTTGTCCCAAATAATACATTTATTTATGTATTTACACATTAATTTAATTACTGATATCCTTATGGGCTCATGGGTATTTGTTTTATATTTTGAGTTAAAGACCAACATGCTTTATTTTATTGCTCAATTTATTATGCCTTTGTCTTTTGGAGCTTGTGTGTGTGTGTGTGTGTGTGTGTGTGTGTGTGTGTGTGTATCTTTCACTTATTACTTATTATTTTTATTGTTTATTGTTTTGAGACCGAATTTCATGTAGCCCAGGCTGACCTAGAACTTGGAATTCTTCTGACATATGGGGCTAGGATTACAAGCATTGGGTACCATGTCTGGCCTAGATAGGCTTCTTTGATTTAGAAAATGTGTGCTTAATTTTCATTTATAATTAATATTGTTATTATCATTATTATTACTGATAGAGTCTCTCCATATAACTCTGGTTATCCTGGAACTCACTCTGTAGACCAGGCTGGTCTTGAACTCACAGAGATCCACCTGCCTCTCTCATGCTGGGATTAAAGATGTGCACCACCGTGTCCAACTTCATTCATAACTTTCGTAGTTAGATATACCATTTCTTTTTGTTTGTTTGTTTTGGAGATAGTATCACTATATAGCTAAGACTATCCTTGAACTGGAGATCCTCCTGCCTCAGCTTCTACACTGCCATACTTGTCTGATAATTCATTCCTTTTTATCAGTTAAATAATATCCCATAGTGTTGATGCCTCACAATTTGTTTTTGTTTGTTTATATCCCATACAGAAGAATTCATTGTAGGAGTTCTATTTTTATGGAAGGGAGGAATAGCACTCTCCTTTTTTGTTTATTTGTATTTTATTCTATTTATCTATCCATATATTAATTATTTATTGTTATTTTGTTCGAATTTGGTGTTTTGCCTGCATGTATGTCAGGGTGTCAGGTCTGGGAGTTACAGACAGCAGTTGGCTGCCATATGGGTGCTTGGAATTGAACCTGGGTCATCTGGAAGAGCAGCCAGTGTTCTTAACCGCTGAGCCATCTCTGAATATTTATTTTATTATTTACTCATGTTTACCTATGTCCACATGTACACGCAGTGCCAGCAGATGCCAGAAGGGAGCATCAGGTGTCCCTAGGATTGGAGTTATGGATGACTTATGAGCTTCCATGAGAGTGCTGAAAATTAAAGCTGGCTCTCTTAGAGTGGGCACCCAGGATGTAGAGCAGTCAGAGGCAGGCAAATCTCTGAGTTTAGTGCCAGTCTGGTGTACTGAATGAGTTCCAGGACAGCCCGGGTTACAGAGAACCCTGCCTTGAAAAACAACAACAACACAAAGCAAAAAGAAAAACAAGGTAAGTTTGAGAAACCACCACAATTAAGAAAGGTTTCTCTGTGCAGCTCTGGCTGTCCTGGAACTCACTTTGTAGACCAGGCTAGCCTGGAACTCACAGAGATCTACCTGCCTCTGTTTCCTGAGTGCTGAGATTAAAGGCATGCACCACCACAGCTCTGAGAGATACCTTCATTGTTTTTAGTTTTACCTGATTATGAATAAATCTGCTATGACATTAAGATATGTTTTTGGTGCTGGGGTGAAACCTAGGGCCTCACACATGCTATCACTGAGGTACATTCCCAGCTTTTAGACATTACTTTTCATATTGGTTGAATTGATTGGTCTGGCACTCAACATGTAGACCAGGCTGGCTTCAAACTCACAGAGATTCAACTGAGTGCTGGACTGAAAGGCATGCTCCACATACCCAGTATGAAATATAAATATATATATATATATATATATATATATATGTATGTATATATGTATATATATAATTATGTATATATACAATTAGTATATAAGGATGTATGTACACATATATGTATATATAATAATATTATTATATTATAGCTATATAAATAAATTTGGGGAACTATTTGTTCCCAAATTCATGGAATTCATGGGCTTGCACATACTAGACAAGCAATAATCTACTGAGCTATACTCTCAACTAATTCTAGAATTTCTATTAAGGCAGCATAATGGTCACAGATCTCACAGATCAGCATCCTAACCTTGTAGCCTTAGAGAGAATACAAATCCCTTTGGAAAGGGACTCCATGATCAGCAGGGGACATCCCTGTTTCATCCTTCTTCCTGGGAGGTAAAATAGAGAACCACAGGAAGTAGAAAGCATGGCGTCACTGTAGTAGCTCTGGGAATGCAGACCTTCCAGCCAAAAAGCAGGGGGGGGGGGGGGGGGGGGGGTGAGCTGTCAGCATTATCACCCCTTAGGAAGCTGTGGCAGGAGAATCTGCAGTTTAAGGACAGCCAGAGCTACATAGTGAACTTATGTCTTAAGAAGAGCTTCTGTGTAGCTCCATGGTAGAGCACCTGTCTAGAGTGTGCGAGACACTGAGTTCCACCAGTAGCACCGCAGAAATTTAAAAGCCATCACCAGATGCAGGCTTCCAGCCTTGGACCACACACTGCTTAATTTTCTCCTTGCTGTGGTCACATGCCTCAAAAAAAAAAAAAAAAAAGTTAAGGGAGAAACAGTACATTCAGGATT